AAATGTTTTTGATACATTATTTCATGGTTATAAATATAAACAATAGAGAAAATTTTTGTATAAACCAGGTATTACTGATAAAAACGAAGTAGTTTTGCTCATTTTTATTGTTAAACAAGCACGTAGAGTTTTTTTTCTAATTCCCTTTTGGCTTTTATGAATTGATCGTGACTTTGGATATTTATCTCAGCTAGCGGCAAATAACACTATAAGTATCGTCTTTCTCTTTCGATCTATACTTGATATAATTCAATTATTTGTTTCATATTCATCATTTATCATACAATAACAACTTGCTTTCAATGTTAATTCTTTTTCTCGCTAATAAAATTAATCGTATAAGGGAAGGCAAAAAAAAAATACTGTTATCTAGTTTTTTTTTCTGAAAGATCAGAAATGAAAAAAACACATATATACTTAGCAAAAAAATAAATCAATATGCATATTAATTTCATTTTATCTCCGCTCAAACAGAAAAAAAATATATTAGATATATATGTGAAACGAATGCAGATGGTAAAGTTTGTTATTCTTTTTTTTTCGAGTAAAAAGATAGTTGCATGCAATATTAGCAGTAGCAACAATAATTACCTGAATGAATAATACTTTTCATGTTTCTAATGCACAAACGAGACAACAATAAATAATAAATTCTAATATAATTTCTCTTACTTTTTATCAAGATTAAAACTTGTCATTCTATTCAATGTTTGCTTTCTCGATTGACTAACATATGAAAATGGTTCGTCTGGTATAAATGACATATCTGGCTTGTTGTCTATTTGATTTTCAGTTGCATTTATATCTCGAATACGTGGTTGAACAAATGCTAATGGTTTTTTAGTTGATATTGGTGAAGATTGATTATCATGTGTAGTTATTACTGTATTCGATTGTGACATAGATAGAATGGAATAATTTATATTGACTTTGCTATTTATTGGTTGAAAAGCATCAGATGTATAATCATTATCATCTGAAACTTAATAAGTACAAAAACAAAAAAAAAATAGAAGAAAAAATGTTTTTTTTTTACTTTGGGTTTTTTTTATATAGATAAATACTTACATTGTGAATAAGAATGATTGGTCAGCTGCTGATTATAAAGAGGAATCTAATAAAATAGAAAAAGAAAAGACAAAAAAAATATGATACTTTTCTATCTCATACATATTTATAAACATTGAATATAGTCTACATTAATTCTTAATTTTAAATTACAATATGTTAAGTGACCTATTAATCATGTAATATAAGAGAGACTTATTCTTATCAAACAAATAACAGAAATATATTCTTATGTACCTATCTATCTTTGCTCTTTTATTATTGTGATTACATCAAGTTCTTCTAGTCAATACTTGAGCTTTTCATATATGTTTACCAACAATAAATAAACCAAAAGAATCGGTTTATATTACATTATAATCCGAAACAAATAACATATTAACAATTATTTTATGTTTAATGATACAAAAATTTGATGTTAAACTATTTGATTATATAGTTATGATTATTTTCCAAAAAATCTTTTATGACATGTTTAAGAATACAAAGAGAAACAACAGGATTTTGTTACAAATCATCATATCGTATAATTTTTAAGAATTGCGGTAACGAAAATAAGAAATGAAAAGTCTTATGTTATAAATAAAAGATCAAGAGTCTTAAGAATTCTATTTATAAAAATAAAGTCTAGATATTTTTTATCGTTTATTAACTTAAAAAGTTCCGTCATTAAATATGTTTTATTATAAATAAATCTATCTTTTTACTCGGAATATGAATATTATTGTTTAT